GGTTTTGGGTGGTCCCCAACCCGCAAAATTAAATTTTTGGACCTAGTCTTATTTCCCCAGACCAAAATAACCCTTTTGATATTTGTTCGAGAGTCATTTTAGGGGGTTTTTTTTTACAGCTTAAATTTTTCGTACAAACACTCATAACCATCTATTCCTTCGATTAAATTTTTTACTTTTAAAATTTTTTAGAGTGCTCTCCAGTTTTTAACCCCTAAACTGCTGAAAAAACCCTTTTTAAGTGTGATCGGAAATTTTAAAATTAAAAATGATATTCACAAAATCCCAAACCCACTTTGTTCTATATTACCATAAGTGAATTTTAACAAAATCAACTGCTTCCTTGTAAGAGTCATCTACATTGGGAAAGGGGTTTTAGAGTTTTGTAGCATCTCCTCTTACCCGTCCCCCCTTTAGGTAAAATAAATTTTTTTACCCGCAGTTTACTTTCCCCTCAGCACAGCTTCTTTAAAAATTTACCCAAAAATCCTCCCAGTTTTTCTCCAGGATTAAATACAAGTAAACAAAAAATTCGGGAGTTTTTTTCAAAGACATCTTATTTGTTGGAGCAAAACTGATTAAAATGCCCCGGTTTACACATTTTTTTAAATTTAAAGCCTGACTTTTAACCCAAAAATTTTTTTTTCTTTAAATTTATAATACTGATTAACCATAGATCTACTTCAGTCCCCATCTACAAGGGAGTTTTTCAACAAAAACTCCTTTCCTAATTTTTTTGTAATATAATTTGTATGAATCATATATGTTCCCTAAAAACATCTAAAAACAATTTTAAATCATCAGTATTCACAGTTTTTTTGATTCATTAATTTTCCCCCCATTTATTGTATGCTTTTTTTACATGCCTTTTTCCCAGCTTGCGGGTGCTTTTTTTTCCTAATTCCCCTATTTTTTCTTCTAAAATAATTTCCTCATTTTCCCCCATGAGCAATGTATTAAATTCAACTTTAATTTAAAAACAATGATTACAACTTACAACACTGATACAACTTACCTTTTGAATAAATCCTAGTTGCACTTGAGCTTTGAAATTTACATTAAGAAAATTATAATATAAATTTTAAATACACTTTTAAAATGTAGTACACATTAAGTAAATTTGTGAACTTAACTCCACCTTCTTCTTCTTTTTCAAAAATTATTAAATAATTAACAAATTAAGACTTTACTAATTACCTCCGGGTTTCAAGAAGACCAACGAAAATTAAATGTGGAAAATTTAACATTTATCGAATGTATCTTTATTTAATAAAGAAAAATGAACAAAATAATTATTTTTTTAAACATTAAAACAAGGGGAAATTTTTGGAACACCTAGGCGAAAAAATGTCCCCCTCTATACCTACAACTTGAAAACCCATGCATCACATGTCAGGGACACGACCAAGAGAGAGGGGAGGAGAACCAGCAAGACGGGATTTTGTGTTCCCCCCTGGCAGTTCAGACAGTTAGTTTAATATGTTTTTTATGCACCCCATACCCATTCAGACTTTGGGGGACATCACTTACAGGGGCCCCTTTTGGAGCTAGCGTCACGGGGTTTCTATTTTTACTTATAGTAGAGTTACAATGGAAAGGAAAAAGGGAACTAAAGGGGACAGGCCCAAACAAAAAAGGGGGGGGACTAAAAGGGTATGAAATTTCCCTGCAGGAGGTTCAGGGGGAAAGAGAAATGGTAGGAAAAATCAGTAAACGAGATGAGGGAATATGTGGAACAAAGTGCAAGGGGCAAGGAAAGTTTTTTTTTCCCAAGGAAACAGAAATAATAGGGAAAACCAAAAAGAGTCCTTTTTTTACCCCCAAGGGGGTAGGGAGGCAAAAACTAAGTGCAACAGAGAATGGAAAAGCAGGAGGCATAGACCCAGGAAAAAAGGGGAAATTTGTAGAAGAGCCAGAAACGGTAGCACAATAAGGAGGGAGGCCCCGCGACAGTATGAAAACGACATAGCATCGAAAGTCAAATCGCCCAAATGCTGTATGCCACATTAGGAGGGAAACAACAGTCAAGGCCCCGGTATAAAGGGGAGAAAGAAGGTGGAGAACCACAAGAAACGATCAAGAGGTATTGAGGAGCTCAACACAAGATTTAAGAAGATTTACAGTAGAACAGGGGAAGGACTCTGGGGGGGCGACCAATGGGGACACCAGCAAGGAATACACCAACAATGTTGGACACATACATACAGATGAGGAGGGGTGAAGAAACTGCTAAGGGACATCGATACCTCAAAGGCAATGGGACCGGACAACACTCCCCGTGGGTCCTTAGAGAGGGAGCAATATGTTGTGTGGCCACTTACCACAATCTTCAACACATCCCTGGAAACTGGGCAACTACCTGAGGTATGGAAGACGGCAAATGTAGTTCCCATTTTTAAAAAAGGAGACAGAAAAGGGGCACTAAACTAAGACCTGTGTCATTGACGTGTATATATAAAAATTTAAATGGAGAAGATTATCGGGAGGAGAGTGGTGGAGCACCTGGAACGAAACAAGAGTATAAATGCCAACCAGCACGGATTCACGGAAGGCAAATCTTGTGTCACAAACCTTCGGGAGTTTTATGATAAAATAACAGAATAAGACACGAGAGAAAAGGGGGGGGTTGATTGCATCTTCTTGACTGCAAGAAGGCCTTTGACACAGTTCCTCACAAGAGATTAGTGCAGAAGCTAGAGCATCAGGCGCATATAACAGGAAGGGCACTGCAATGGGTCAGAGAATACCGACAGGGAGGCAACAACGAGTCATAGTACGTAATGAATGTATCCCCAGTGGGCACCTGTGACGAGCGGGGTCCCACAGGGGTGGTCCTAGGACCATGCTATTTTTGGTATATGTGAACGACATGATGGAAGGGTTTTGACTCAGAAGTGTCCCTGTTTGCAGATGATGTGAATAATGAGGGGAATTAAATCTGATGAGGACCAGCAGGACTTCAAGAGACCTGGGCAGACTGGACACCTGGGCCGCAAAAGGCTTCTTCGAATTTAATTCCTACCAAATGCAAAGTCATGAAGATAGGGGAAGGGCACAGAAGACCCAGACAGAGTATAGGCTAGGTGGCCAAAGAATGCAAACCTCACTCCCAAGGGGAAAGATCTTGGGGTGAGTATAACACCGAGCATGTCTCCGGAAGCACACATCAATCAGATAACGCTGCAGCATATGGGCGCCTGGCAAACCTGAGAACAGCATTCCGATACCTTAGTAAGGAATCATTCAAAGACACTGTAACACCGTGTATGTCAGGCCCATACTGGAGTATGCAGCACCTGTTTTGGAACCCGCACTTGATAAAGCACGTCAAGAAACTAGAGAAATACAAAGGTTTGCGACAAGGTTAGTTCCAGAGCTAAGGGGGAAAGTCCTATAAGAAAGGTTAAGGGAAAACGGCCTGACGACACTGGAGGACAGGAGGGTCAGGGGAGACATGAAACGACATATAAAATACTGCGTGGAATAGACAAGGTGGACAAAGACAGATGTTTCAGGGGGGGGACACAGAAACAAGAGGCCACAATTGGAAGTTGAAGACACAATAGTCAGAGAGATAGTAGGAAGTATTTCTTCAGTCATAGAGTTGTAAGCAATGGAATGCCTAGAAAAGATAGTGGGCAGGAAACCCAAAACAGTTTTTAAGCGAGGTTTTTATAAGCTCATGGACGGGGAGAGAGGGCCCAGTACAACCGGTGAAGGGGGGCCAACTAAGACTCGACCCCTGCAACCACAAATAGGTGAGTACAAAAAAGGTGGTACCGTCTTATCCACAAGTTGCTCTGACCTATTAATTATAAATAAAAGTAACACCAGGGAAATTTTGGGAAAAAAAAATTTTTGGACTGTATAAAAATAAAAAATGATTATAATCACACATTTTCATAACAGAAGGAGAAATAACTTAATATCACTCCCAATTTGACTGGAGATTAAGGTGTACATACTCAAAAGCCCCCCACTGTCTATCTATGAAAAAAAACCTGGCCCAATTAAACAAATAGACTTATCGGGGTTCCTGGACTTTCTTTCCAGTCCCTGATATCTCAATTTTTGCAGGAATCACATCCAAAATTTCGGCTTCTATTTGAAGGTATCCCCCCCTTTTTTACCTCTAGAGAACGAAAATTTTCCCAAATTATTCACTAACTGTGCCCAAATTTCAAATAAGGGGCGAGTCTCCCTGCGCGGCACAGTTTTCTTCCCATTTTTTGATAACATATTTTTTATAACAATAAGGCCATCATTTGCCTAAAAATTTCCCGTATTTCCAAAAATTAAACAGTTTTTTCCCACAATATTCACAGATAATGAATTCCATTTTTTAGGGTTTTTTAAGTGCATTGATTTTTGCATACGTGAGATGGAAAGGAACATAAAACCAGAAAAGGTCAACTTTTTTAAAAATTAGACACAGTACAACACTGGGTATCTTTTTTTGTAGACGTTCGCCATCCAGGGTTTTATCAATACAGATTCGGGACATAACTTAAGACAGTAGAAAATATATAATAAATGAGTAAGAATCCCATAGCCGAGAGTTGGGGTGTAACAAACCAATCGAGGACTTCTGCGCCAGCCTTCTCGGTGTGGACTCTTGGGACCTTCCCCATCTATTTTGCCCGCCGGCACTCACAGGAGGGCACCTGTACATCGCCTTACTTTTGGGCCCCTCCATTTTTTTTCCCCTCGCAGAAAATTCTTTAACTTTTTTTGGTGGGAAGCCGGGTTCTGAACTCAGGTGGAGGTGGGGGCCCTCTCTGCTGGGGCTTGCAAAGGGCGCCACCGGATCTAATTGGAAACTTAAGTTTTTATCTCATTTTCAAAGGAAAATTTTTTTTCCTTGTCTCTATCGCCTAGGCTTGGGCAACAATTTTTTCTCGTACCATCGAGAAACCGGGTTCGATACGGCTTATGCTGTCAGAAGAAGACACCGTAGTCGAGGAGATTCTGGTGGCCCTTAATAACCCCAACAAGAAGCAGACACAATGGACCGTAGTCGAAGAGATTCTGGTGGCCCTTAATAACCCCAACAAGAAGCAGACACAATGGGTCGCAGTTCTAAGGACAAACGAGATGTTTACTACAGGCTGGCCAAAGAAGAAGGCTGGCGGGCAAGAAGTGCATTCAAACTCATCCAGATAAATGAAGAGTTTAACATTTTTAATGGTATGCTTTGATTTAGGTTCACTACGTTGTTTGACCCATACGTATCTAGCGCTTACTTTTAGTATACTGATAAATCGTTACTACACATAATTTTTGAAGACTATTATCATTAATATAATGGTTGTAATAAGCATAAAATAGTTATAGGTATACATTGGCGATAAATTACATAGATTTAACCCGCAGTAGAATAAGAATGTGATGCGTTTCCATTGGGGTTCACAAGTATGTCTTAGGCACTTAAGTGTGCTCTCTTTATACTTAACACTTCATGCTACTACATATAAGTGAAAATTATATATTAATTACGGACATACTGTATATTAAGTGTTTGCATGCAACTTTTTCATTGTACCTCATAGCTCAATGGTAGTACATTGTCCTCACATCAGGAGGACTCAGGTGCAGTCCTGGGTTGAGGCAAGACTTGTGGACAGGTCTCTTAATACCTGTTACCCATGTTCTTCTTATTAAAAATAAGTACCTGGAGAGTTTACCTGGAGAGAGTTCCAGGGGTCAACGCCCCCGCGGCCCGGTCTGTGACCAGGCCTCCTTAGGTCAGTGTCCCAGGATGCGACCCACACCAGTCGACTAACACCCAGGTACCCATTTTACTGATGGGGAACATAGACAACAGGTGGAAAGAAACACGTCCAATGTTTCTACTCTGGCTGGGAATCGAACCCAGGCCCTCGCCGTGTGAAGCGAGAGCGTTAACCACCAGGCCACTGCCTGGACAAGAGGACCAAAGACCTTAATGTAAGCCACACTGAAACTTTGATTCAGTGGACTCAATAAAGCAGAGGGTTGTCAGTTAAATGCAATTAATGAGATTCCATATCCTTTGTCCATAAAATTAAAAATCAATTTACCTGGTGGATTGCAACAGTAACAGACATGCCTGAATTTAACAGACTGTTGTTTCTGGACTTTGTCTGGGCAATGGCTTTTATCTGTTAAATTCAGAACCTGTTAAATTGAAGTTTATTAAATTAAAGTTTTACAGCAACTGATTACCTTTCTTGGATTTTTAATCCAAATAGTCTTTACAGTAATAATAATTATAATATCAATAATAATTATGTAAAAGATGCAGTCTAATTCTTACCTTATATAATTGAAACAATTAATGCAACATAATGAAAAAAAAACATTATTAATTTCAGCAAAGTGAAAACTTCTGCCTTTTCTTGTCTTTTTTGTCATTGTTTTCTCTTTTCTTTTGTCTGTTAGTCATTGTCTTCTTTTTTTCTCCCATTTCCTACCAATGTTCAGTAGAACCTCTTCTTGTTAGTTTAATCCGTTCCATGACCTTGCTCGCAACTGGATTTGCTCATTTGCAGAGTCAATTTTCCTCATTTAAATTAATTGAAATACAATTAATCCGTTCCAGTGGAATTCTGTACTTCAGTAATTTTGCTAATATCAACTCTATGGCTTATTTATCTATCAAAATTCATCTAGTATGACATAACAAACAATATAAACAACATAGAAACCTAATATATACTCTAAAAAGAATAAAATGTGTCACTGTATATGTGACGGCAGTGGTGGCCGACGAGTGTTTGTCTGGAGACAGGACAAAATACTCTGAATATTTCGCTATCATCAACTCTATGGCTTATTTATCTATCACAGTTCATCTAATATGACATAACAAACAATATAAATAACACAGAACCCTGATTTATAATCTAGAATGAATAAAATATGTCATTATGTAACAGGTGGAGGCAGCCACAACTGCTCCCTCTTTAAGTAAGTAAGTAAGTTTATTCAGGTATACACAAATACAGTTACATAGAATTATCATACATAGCAGCATATGTGTAGAGAACCTAGGATAACCCAAAAAAGTCAGACAGAGTGACAGCCCTTTTGAAGCCATCTGTTATTATAATTATTATTATGTAGTACATTATTATTATATATGTATTAATATGTTTTATATTATTATTATTATTATTATTATTATTATTATTATTATTATTATTATTATTATATTATTATACTATTATTATTATACATATTATTATTACAATATAAATAATTTGTAATTTTTATTCACACAAAAAATATAAGATTTACTGTTATGCAGACTACTGCCTTATTGCAATAATTGTATAAATAATGTCAACCCATTCACAACTGCATATTGAAATGGACAGTGACGTCATTTGTTTACTCTTGAACATAGCCAAAACAGTCGAACATTTCTCCTACGTTGAGCTCAATTTTAAGGTACTTTTCATCGTGAAAGCAATCAAAATCATATCTATTTATGTAATATATCATCCATTCTATTAAATAAGACCAAAAAAACGAGAATACAACCATAAAAACCATACGAAAATACCGCTAAGGGGTGGCTTATTGCTGAGAAGTGATCTCCATTATTTATGCTCTGATTTCTTTCATTTTTGGTGTACATTAAGAAGCATCTTTCCATCATATATAGCCCAAGTTTCAATAAGATAGTCCAACAAACAAATGAGATCCAATTCCTTAGATCAAGAGCAAGAGCCTCTCACCAGCATCAAGGAACCTCCCTTGAGGCCTGCTCGCTTATGGAAATTTCGCTCGCGTATGGAAGCAAAGAATCGACCCATCGACTGCTCGTATTTGGAAAAACTCACACATGGATGCGCTCGCAAGTAGAGGTTCCACTGTATTTCTTTTGTCTTTATGTGGGTTCTATCCCATTTTCTTTCCAATATAATTGCAGTACTATTTTCTAACATTTGGTATTGTTATGGGCTCTTCCCCTAACCCTTATATTTACTGACTTTTACATGGAGTATTTTGTATAGGTCCTTCTTTCTGTAAGTTTATTTAGGTATAATTACACAATTGTAACTGAGAACAATTATCTTGCATAATATATAACATATATATGTTACCTAGGATAACCCAAAAAAGTCACTGATTTATTTCCATTGGGGTCCATGTCTTAACTCTCCAGATCATGGCTCAAGTGATAGCAACTTCAACTTATATCTGAAGGATCTGGGTTTGATCCTGGAGATCCTGACATTAATAGAAATGCTAGGCATGTTTTCTTATACCTGTTGCCTCTGTTCACCTAGCAGTAAGCCTTGGTGTCAGCTGACTGTTGTGGATAATAATAATAATAATAATAATAATAATTAATAATAATAATAATAATAATAATAATAATAATAATAATAATTTATTTCAGCATGCTACAATGTTTATACAGGAATGGGTGACATTTAGTTGTGCATGCAGAAAGCCCATAGTTATGCAAAACATTTTGGGCAAATTTAAGCCTGACTTAAGACTAAAATGGCAATAAATAATTAATTTCTTAGATATAAGGACTTTAAGGGTTCATAAACAATAAATTTAGGAATTACAAGGCAAACAAACAAGCAGCATTTTGGGGGAGAGGCTCAAAGGACCCTAATTGAAATCAGTTAGACTGTGATTTTTTCTTGTTATTGTGGATTACTAACCTTCTGGGCTACTAAGCCAGATACAATATGTTTTTCTGTTATCTATAAAAAATAAATCTTGTTTTATCTACCAAATTTAAAGCTGAGTGAGAGCCATAACCCACTGTCCTTTTCTTGATGTTTATGCCCAGTGCTTTGTGACTGCTATGTTTTTTCTGTCTACTGGAAGCCCATGAACAGTGGCATGTGTACAGTCATTATTTTTTCCTTCCATGAACAGTATGCTAAGTGAAATATTTCTGTTTCTGTTTCCATGCCCTCCACATCTTTGATAATCAATTTTTCAACTCTGCAATGTCGATTTTTCGAAGTTCTTTCTCTAGTCTTGGCTATCAGCCATATTTGATATATTCTACCGACTCTTTTGCTTAATAGACCTGTCTTTTTATCCCCTTGCCTGAATCCACTTCTGTCTTTGTAACAGGTGACACCACTATTTACAATATATCTACTGATAGGGTGAAAATGTGAAATTTAAAGCAAAAATCTGGTGATTTTTGTCAGATAGTCCAGGGAAAGAGCATTTGTCCCTAGCCCCTTGCCACAGATACCAATAGCTGAGAGATAGGGGCCTGTACACACAACAGGCATATGTGAGTATGTTTCACAGATATGTTTGGAGGTGAATGGGTCCATGGGATTTGATGATCTAATATAAGATAAGAATTGTTTGGATTTTTAACCTGGAAGGTTAACCATCCAGGATAACCCAGGAAAGTCAGTGTGTCATCAGGGACTGTCTGTCTTATTTCCATTGGGGTCCTTTAATCTTGTCCCCCTGGGATGCTACCCACCCCACTTGACTAACACCCATGTATCTACTTACTGCTAGGTGAATAGAAACAGCTGAGCTGATGTAAGGAAACATGTCCAACACTTTCACTTATGCTGGGGATTGAACCATAGGCACTCAGTGTGAGAGGCAAAAGTGTTGCCAAGCCACAGTATTGTAATATCTAAAAAATGATACAGGGAAACTGGTTAGTTAGATTTATATGTCAGTACTTGAAAGTTGAGGCAGAGATGTTCAGGTTCAGCTGGTCAACTCTAGACTGTATTGCATGTTCCCTTCCGGTGAGATAACATGATCGATAGTGAATTTGTGTTCTTCAGATCTTGCGTATGCTGTGCCTAAATGATTGTTGAGACTATTTTTTAGGTGTGACACGAGTTGTAGACTTGTGTGCTGCACCTGGTAGCTGGAGTCAAGTGTTATCACGCACTCTTAGGTGAGTGCTAAAAAATCTTAGTATATATTAAGTATGTAAATATACTTGTACAATATATTGCTTCAAAAAATTGTTATGGAATAATTTAAACACCAAGTGGATTTTTAGCATTATGAATGTGCAGTACTGTGTGTATTTAAAGGTTCATTATTGTAATCATAACATATTGTGAGCACCAGTATTCTTTTCTATTTTACTGCAGAGGTGCAGCACCAGATCCATCTGCAGTGAAAATAGTGGCAGTAGATCTTCAAGCAATGGCTCCACTTCCAGGGGTAGTTCAGCTACAGGGTGACATAACAAAAATAAGCACAGCAGAAGCAATCATTAGTCACTTTCAGGGTGACACTGCACAACTGGTAGTGTGTGATGGTGCTCCAGATGGTAAGTGTAAAATATGAGAATCTGCATTATTGTTTGTGTGAAGTAGGGTGTTGAATTGTCTGACCTTTCCAAATTGTATATTCTTATATTACTGTAGCCATTTATTTAATATTTGAAGAATGTTTTCTAATTACTACAGGTCGCCATCACTAATCCGGCAGTCAGTTATCCGATTTCATCAATAATCCGGTTTCATCGATAATCCGGCACTAATTTCAACTAGCATGATTTCAAATTTCATCATTATACAGACTCAAATTTCATCATTATACTGACTCAGAAATTGTGAAGATGATTGTAAATCCACAGCAGCAAGCCAGTGGAGGAGAAAGCAGTGATGAAAATGAGGAAGATGTAGCAGAAAGAGTCTCTATTGATAGATTAATTAAGTGTATTCTAACCTAACCACACTGTAATCCGGCAAACTCACTAATCCAGCACACTACAGGTCCCAGTGATGCCGGATTAGTGATGGCCGACCTGGTTTGATATATTTTATCAATAAAGATTATGCATGCACTTCAATTAATTGTGTACTAGAAATAGGGCAGAGATGTTGATACACATATTATTGCATTTTTTATTGGCATTGCTTATTACAAATTTAGATTTAGATTTTTTCACAATATACAATGTGTGACTGACATGTTACAAAATATTGTTAAGTACAAAGAAACTCGCTAACATGCCTGAGTATTTCAGGCAGACTAATATTAATGCTAACACATTACTTAAAACTAAACATAGCATATTAACATAATGTGAACACATTCAATGTTTTAATTGTTTTGAGGATTACAGATATTAAGAATAAGATTACAGTGGAACCTCAAATTTCGAACGTATCGCTTATCGAACTCTTCGAAAATTGACCGCTTTTTTTTTAACCAACTTTGTCCTTATTATCGAACTTGCCCCTACTTTTGAACTGCCGGGTACTGGACCTGTCCGCCAGCTCGCCCTGTCCGCGTCCCCGCGCAGGCGCCGTGAGCCAGTCTGGCTTTGTTGATGCTTGAGTGAACACTAACCTGCGGTCTCATTCAAACATTTTACGATTAATTCATTGTGTTTAGTGCTTGTGGGACTGTGAAATAAGCTACCATGGGCCCAAAGAAACTTGCTAGTGGTGCCCCCTGTGATAAAGAAAGATTTAGATTAAGGAGATTTGTGCCAAGTGGAATGATGTCCAAATGTTTGTGGAGAAGTACCACCCTGAGCAAGCTGAAACAAGCCATCTTTGCAACAAGTTCAGTGACAGAACCGTATCCCATTTTTAGGGAAATCTTAAAGAGGTGCCAGAAACAGAGGACTGTGGACAGTTATTTTGTGAGACAGGGGTCCAGTGACTCTTAAGCTGGTCCTAGTGGCATTAAAAGACAGAGAAGGGAAGTAACCCCAGAGAGGGCTTTGATACCTGATACCTAAAGTCCTTAGGGAGGGGGATTCCCCTTCCAAATACTAACCCCAACTCTCTCTCTCTCTCCTCCCTATCTTCCAGATGCCATCACCAATCTTCAATAAAGGTAAGTAAAAATGTTATTTTATATGTTTATTTAAATTTATTAATAATTGTACACTATATTTGTTGTGTGTATGTAAAACTATAATGTAATACTCTTTATAAAATGTATTTTTTGTGAATATTGTATTTCCATTATTTCTTATGGGAAATATTGCTTTGCCTTTCAAACTTTTGACTTTAGAACTAGCTCCTGGAACAGATTAAGTTCGAAATTTGAGGTTCCACTGTATATTGTTTTCCATATACATATGTACAGTGGAACCTCGGCTTATGAAAGCCCCACCATGCGAACTTTTCAGATACGAACTGTCATTCTGTCAATTCTTTGCTTCTGGATATGAACGAAATTTCAGGATGCGTACTTCCTCCTCAAGGGAGGTTCCTTAACCCTTAAACTGTCCAAACGTAGATCTACGTTTGACGTACGTAGTGCTCCGAACGTAGATCTACGTCCGATTTTACATGCTTTCAAATGGAGAAAATAAAGGTTGGAGTGTTACGCACGTCAACATAGATCTACGTTTGGACAGTTTAAGGGTTAAATAAATAAATAATAAATAAAATATTTATTTCTTTGCAAAGTTTACAATGTGTGTTTACATATCATAATATGATTGGAGCAAAGAAAGTCACTACAGTGGACCCCCGCAAAACGATATTATTTCAATCCAGAAGTCTGTTTGGGTGCCGTTATAGACCGAATTTGTTCCCATAAGAAATATTGTGAATTAGATTAGTCCTTTTCAGACCCCTAAAAATACACCTACAAAAGCACTTACAAAAATAAACTTACATAATTGGTCGAGTTGGGAGCTGATCGTTATCCGGGGGTCCACTGTATCATGCTGAGGCATTTCGGGCAGACTTAATACTTATAGACTGCTTAAGTCTAGATAGGTGAAAAGTAGTGGTTACCAGTGTTTTGCTGATGGTGGCAGCCTTTTGAAGTTTCTCCTTACTGTTTTATTATTTTATTATTATTATTGTCTTATTATTACTATTAATATTGTATTATTATTATTATTATTATTATTATTATTATTATTATTAGTACGTACGTGGTGAGGGGCTCTTGATCTAGGGAATTGGATCTGTGTTCCAGTTCCCTAAATTATGCCTGAATACCGTCCATCCCCTCCCCCCACAAGCGCTTCCCCATTATAATAGTAATAATAATATAATACATGTATAATAATTATAATATAATACATATAATAATATAATAAAAATGTACTATAATAATAATTATTATAATAGACGGCTTCGAAAGGCTGTCACTAGATGGCAGTGGATACCTCAACAATGCGGGAGCAGTTATGGCCACTTCCACTTGTCACATAATGACATATTTTATTCATTCTAAAGTATATATCAGGTTTCTGTTATTTATATTGTCTATTATATCAAATTAGATCAGTTGTGATAGATAAATAAGCCATAGAGTGTTTAACCCCTTGACTGTCGCAACCCCCAATCCTGTGGTGTCTCCTGGTGTTGCAAAATTTCAAAAAAAAAATTTATTTTTTCTTATGAAATGATAGAGAATCTTTTCCCGATTGTAATGACACCAAAAAAAACGAAATTTGATGGAAAACTGACGGAATTACACTCTCGCGAAGTTAGTGACCTTGGCGATATTTACAAATCGGCGATTTCGCCCATGTTGAGCCCTATTTTTGGCTAATTCCATTGTTCCAGTCGACCAAACTCATAGCTATTTCTTTAGAACTCCATTTTTTCTATCGATTGAGTACAAAAAAATGCCCATTTACCAATTTCAACTACCCAATAACGTGGTCAGAAATTTGCAATTTGGCCAATTTCACGAAAATTAAAAAATATGACAATTTCAAAATAAGGTCCAGAATGAACAAGCAGACATTCCTGGTTTCTAAATAACATTTTCTTGTTCATGCAGTCATATCTCCAGGCCCCTCTGTATTACTCTTGCTTTCTAATTTTGAATTTTTATTCGAACAAAAATAGAAGATTTCCTATTATGGGAGACTACTACAATACTGTAATAATGTGTAAATAACATCAAAACCCCTTCATGACTGCATATTAGAATGGCTAGTTGGACTTTATTGGACAATGACATCATTTGTTTACTTTTTAACATCGGCAAAAATCAAACATTTCTCCTACTTTGAGCTCCATTTCCAGGTTCGTTTTATAGTAAAATCAATCAAAATCACCTCTATTTCTATAATATGTTTTCCATTCTATCAAATGAGACCAAGAAAACGAGAATACAACCATAAATACTATACGAAAATAGATCACAAAGTCGACATTTTAATTAAAAAAAATGGTTGGAGTTTTTTTTTCTCATTATGCACTGCGTGCTCCAGGATTTTTTTTTATATGGTGCACACTGACCACACAGTTCCATTCTCTCACATGTGGGCCTACCAGCTTTCTCCTTCTTGATTTGAAGCTGCTAGAATTTATGAGTATATATATGTCACACGGTACCTCGTAAGATGTATATATACGACCGCGACAGTCAAAGGGTTAATATTGAAGTGTATTGCTCCTGCCTTTGAGAGCAGGAATTCCGCCAGAATGGATTAATGGCTTTTCAATTAATTTAAATGAGGAAAATTGACTCGACATACAAACAAATCAGGATACAAACAAGGTCATGGAACGGATTAAGTTCGTAAGCTGAGTTTCCATTGCATTAGTGACAATGAGAATATGGATACACATATATAGTGGTACACTTTGTATTACAGTATACAAACATTTTATAAGGCTTCATGATTCAGTTTAGTTATATCTGCTAGTTTACATGTACTCACCAGCATAAACCACCTCATTTTTGTTAATCAAACAGAGCTTTTTGAATAATAATATTTTTCTGTGTTGCTCCACATTGCTTCTGTCATCACTTCCTTCTTAACCTTCTGATTGAACCCTTTTGTTCTTTTATACAAGGCTTCTTCAGGATTAAGGTGTAAGCTTCTTAAATTATTTTTCGGATATAGAATGATTATTCTTCCATAGCTTATTTGAAAGGGTGGCCTTGGCAATATGTAGTTGATTGTGTCGTTATGGTACTCTCAGATTTTTGCAGTAAGGTTGGATCGACCATGTCTGGCCCTGATCACTCCAAACCTTCGATATTTTACTGTGCATTAGGCATTACATTGGGTATCTATATGTATAGTTACCATGTCTTATGTTATTTATGGTATAATACATGAATATAAATTAGTTTCATCTCCACGGGGAAGTGGAACAGAATTCTTCCTCCGTAAGCCATGTGTGTCATAAGAGGTGATTAAAATGCCAGGAGCAAGGCACTAGTAACCCCTTCTCCTGTGTACATTACTAAAGTTAAGAAGAGAAACTTTTGATTTTGGGCCACCCTACCTCAGTGGGAAGCAGCCTGTTTGCTGAAAGAAAGAAGAAATTAGTTTCAAATGAGGCTTGGCATATCTTCACTGCAAATAGCATGAAGAAAAACTGAACAACTCTAGTACCAAGTCCAGTAGCCTAAAGTGAAGGGAGCTGGATAGTTAGCAAGATTGCCTGGCTCTCAGTTTTTAGCTCATTTCACTATGAATGTGTGTTGTATTTCCTTTTATCATCTTCAATCAGATGTTTTATCAACTAATTATAAAAATCTTCCTTTATTTATTATTGAGAATAAGAATAACTGGTATTATAATTAAAAATCACACACATGGGTTGGTGGCATTAGCTGGGAATGTGTAAGTTCATGCCTTTCAACTCTGGGCAGTAGATGATAGTACCCATCACACTGCCATTGCACTTCTTTATCCATGAGTCATTGCAGAACATCTCAGTATGTTAAAAAAAATTTTGGTAGCCGAAGTGGAATTGCACCTTTCGTGATCAAAGACACATCACTCTGTTTTCACAGTCTTTGAAGTGAATGGATAAGCAAAATTTTTAACATTTTGTATCATGAAATATGCTGGAGTAGAAGACAGGGCATACAATCTCTTGATAGTTTTTATGTAACTGAATCATATTGACATTGATAAATTTAAAGATATTTTAAGAAATTCTAACTACAGTGGACCCTCGACTAACGTTATTAATCCGTTCCTGAGAGCTCATCGTTAGTCAAAATAATCATTAGTCAAGTTAATTTTCCCCATAAGAAATAATGGAAATCAAATTAATCCGTGCAAGACACCCAAAAGTATTGAAAAAAAAAAATTTAACACATGAAATATTAATTTTAATACACACAAATTGAAGAAGACATGCACAGTTACCTGACACTTACCTTTATTGAAGATCTGGTGATGATTGATGGGATGGGAAGAGGGGAGTGTGTTGATGGTCTTAGTGTTTAGAAGGGGAATCCCCTTCCATTAGGACTTGAGGTGGCAAGTCCTTTTTCGGGGTTACTTCCCTTCTTCTTTTAATGCCACTAGGACCAGCTTGAGAGTCACTGGACCTCTGTCGCACAACATATCTGCCCATAGAGGCCTGTACCTCCCGTTCCTTTATGACATTCCTAAAGTGTTTCACAACATTGTCAGTGTCACCATTAAACACTTGTTCAGGTTTCAGTCCTTCACTGTCTATGTACTCCTTGAATTCCTGCACATATTTTTCAGCTGCTTTTTGGTCCAAACTGGCAGCCTCACCATGCCTTATCACACTATGTATGCCACTACGATTCTTAAATCTCTCAAACCAACCTTTGCTGGGCCCTTAAATTCACTCACATCACCACTAGTTGCTGGCATTTTTCTAATTAAATCGTCATGCAACTTCCTAGCCTTTTCACAATATGATCGCTTGAGAGATGCATCTCCTGCTATCTGTTTTTCATTTATCCATACCAATAACATCCTCAACATCTTCTATCACTTGCGATCTCAGTTTCGAAAACATAGTTGCACCTTTGGCAAGAACAGCTTCCTTGATTGCCGTTTTCTTGGCCACAATAGTAGCGATGGTTGATTGGGGTTTTGTGTACAGCCTGGCCAGCTCGGAGACATGCACTCCACTTTCATACTTAGCAATGATCTCTTTCTTCATATCCATAGTAATTCTCACCCTTTTTGCTGTAGGGTTGGCACTAGAAGCTTTCTTGGGGCCCATGGTGACTTATTTTGCAGGTGCAATCACTAAAAAGGCTGTGATAATATGAAATGTTCCGATTGTATGCTTGGAAGCGACCGCGGTGGCTGGCTGGCTTGTAAACACTGGCCAGAAGTGGACGCGTCTCAGACGGAACGAATAGTGTTGGTTGAGTTTTTTAGCGCTAATCGAGGCAAAATTTTTGCGATAAAATGTAACGCTAGTCAGATTTATCGTTAATCGATGCCATCGCTGGTCGAGGGTCCACTGTACCAGAATAGGTATTTGCATATTATGTACCTTCCTTACTCAACTTTCTTATCTTCTTGGTGGGATATGGTCAACGTGTTCAAAAAAAAAAAATCTATATCGTATGTGTAGCATACAGTGCTAACTGTATGATACCGGGCACTATTTAAAGTACAGTAAAACCTTAGTATAACAGACTCCTGTTTAACAACATATGGATAAAATGAACAAAAAATTTGGCTGGAAAAAATGTTTGAGAGTCAGCTGCATGAGGTTGTCTAGTGTCATCAGAGCTGTGAGCTAAGTCTGCTGTAAGTGTCCAGCAGTGTCATTGCCTTAGCAGACCAAGTCCGCTGCATCACACATTTATCTGGCACATGCCAGAGAGGCCATGTCCAGAACTTGTCCATTTTCATTCTTTCTGGGCAAGCAGGGCTGCTGGCCCTGCCTGCCTCAGTTTGCTAGTGTCTGTGCATGCTCACAGATACTATTACGAGTCAATCTCATATTTTCTCTAGATGTACATTCTTTTTACCACTTTATTAACACTTGACATACAATGTTATTAAAAATGGCCTTTAAAGCAATTAATGATGCCAAGTTGCTGTGTGTGAATCTGAGTTCTAAGCAGAAATTTGAGCTAATAGGGAAGGTGTAGGTTATTGTATGGGTGTTGCATGTGTTTGAGGAATATGGCATAGCAAGGCAAACAATTTCTGATATCTGGAAAGGCACAGACAGACTGCATATGCTCTTAAGTTTAGTGTAGAGGCTAGCTAAAAGAGTCCATAAGTTGGTCCTTGAAAGTGCATGAAAATGGCTCAAGATACAAGGCGATTAGCTAAAGTTCATTTGCCTAGCAGAAAATGTAAAAAAAAAAAAAAAAAAAACTGTGCTCTGCTGTACTGTATTTTTAACTCTTATTTTCAGGTAATTTTTTTGCTGTATCTCAGTTTATTTTAAGAATGGTAGTGTCATCAGTGCTACATAGGGCATTTTGGGTGCATCTGGTAGTGGTCCATTCCATTGGGTGCTTCTATATATAATGAATTTTCAGTTAAGCAGACACCCTCTCCTCCCTCTTATTTGTTCATTACACTGAGGTTTCACCATATGTTTATAAGTTAACTTTATTACTTGTAATCTATACTCTTTGATATGATAAAAGCTTAGCAACACTTCTCAGTGCATTTATTTTAAGTTTGTACCTGCTGATTATTTATTAACAGTGATTGTCAGTATTGTATACAGTATGGTAAGCTTCTCTGCATTTTTTAGTGACTGGCCTTCATGACCTTGATGAGTATGTGCAAGCTCAGTTGCTGCTGGCAGCCTTGAATATTACTACCCATATTTTGGCACAAGGAGGAACCTTTGTTGCTAAGATCTTCCGTGGTAAAGATGTTACTCTCCTCTATGCTCAACTCAAGATTTTCTTCAAGCGTGTCACAGTGACCAAACCTCGCTCTTCACGAAATTCAAGTATTGGTAAGTAATAAGAGTAAATATTAAGCATTGACGATTAATTGGAGTAAAGTAGTGGTAAAATATAAGACTATTTAGAAACTAATGTATATGTGTGTGAGAAAGCCTGACTCAGATGGTTGAAAAGTTAAAAAGAGAAACTTGTTTTTCTTATTTGGGTCACCCTCCTCGGTGGGATACGACCGGTTTGTTGAAAGAAGAAGCAATAAAATGCATAATCTGTTGAAATTAATAATATATGGACATTTTGATCTGTCTTTATGGGGAAATGGAAAAGAATCTTACCTTCGTAAGCCATGCGTGCCATAAAAGGCAACTAAAATGCCAGGAGCTAGGGTCTAGTAACCCCTTTTCCTGTATAAATTACTAAATGTAAAGAGAAGAAAAACTTTATAGTTACTTTTTTTTTTTTTTTTTGGTCACCCTTCCTTGTTAGGAGACAGCTGGTGTTTCTTTCAACAAACAGGCCATATCCCACCGGGAGAAGGGGTTACTAGCCCCTTGCTCCCGGCATTTTAGTTGCCTCTTACGACATGCATGGCTTATGGAGGAAGAGTTCTGTTACACTTCCCCAAGGAGATAAACGGAAATAAACATGAACAAGAACTAGTAAGAAAGCAGAAGAAAACCCAGAGGGGTTAGTTACCATTCTGTCCTAGGCACATGTCGATTAGACACTAGTCCTGTTTTTTTTTTTTTTTTTTTTTTTTTTTTTTGTGTGTGTGTGTGTGTGTGTGTGTGTGTGTGTGTGTGTGTGTGTGTGTGTACGTACGCACATACGTAATCACCTAGTTCTACTCACCTAGTTGTGGTTGCAAGGGTCGAGTCATAGCCCCTGGCCCCGCCTCTTCACTGGCCGATACTGGATCACTCTCCCTGCACCATTACCTTTTTCATACCTGTTTAAAGCTGTGAATGGATCCTGCCTTCACTACATCGCTTCCCAAACTATTCCACTTCCTGACTACTCTGTGACTGAAGAAATACTTCCTAACATTCCTGTGATTCATCTGTGTCTTCAACTTCCAACTGTACAGTGGACCCCTGCTTTACGATCACCTCCCAATGCGACCAATTATGTAAGTGTATTTATGTAAGTGCGTTTGTACGTGTATGTTTGGGGGTCTGAAATGGACTAATCTAATTCACAATATTCCTTATGGGAACAAATTCGGTCAGTACTGGCACCTGAACATACTTCTGGAATGAAAAAATATTGTAAACTGGGGGTCCACTGTATTATCTTGTTGCTGCATCTCATCTATGGAACAGTCTGTCTCTGTCCACCTTGTCAATTCCTCTCAGTATTTTATATGTCGTTATCATGTCCCCCCTATCTCTCCTGTCCTCCAGTGTCGTCAGGTCGATTTCCCTTGCAGTTTTATAACTGTAGTGTAAGCATATCTCTGGCATGCTTACACTACAGTTATAAAACTGGAATTATAAAACTGGAGTTATAAACCTGGAGTTATAAACCTGGAGTGAATGATGATGAAAGTTTTTCATTTTTGAGCCCCCCTGCCTTGGTGGGAAATGGCCGATGTGTTAATATACATATGTATAATAAATTTAGGAGGGTAGTGCTAAATGCTTAGGGGGTTATACAGTGCCTTGGTAATGAGGGGCATTCAGGTTCACTCGAAGCAAGAGTAGAGCAGGTTCAATCCCTTGGATCAAGCCTTTCACTGACTTCGAGGAACCTCCCTTGAAGTATAGGAGTTGAGCTAATCTCAGGTTGTGTTGCTTTTGGTGTTAAGTCTTCTATAAAATGTTTTGAAGCTTCCAGAGATTGTAAAAATATTTTTAGAATTAGTGTAGAAGTTTTAAAGAGGAAATTGGAGCACTACCTCCAATAAGTGCCAGCAACCAGGCTATGATGGATATGTGGGCTGGTGGGCTGCCTATAGGCACAACCTGGTTGAATAAGCAATCAGCAGAAAAGGCTGGCCCCAAGCCAGGATGTGAAGGTTAAAAAACTTCTGAGTTTATCGAAGGTTGCACTTGTACTCCTCTTTACCATATTTCAGCGAGTCTCTCATGAAAAACTTTCTAGTTCCAAAAAAATTTTTGGGGAGGTACAGCATTTTAATAAGTAGTCGGTATATCCGTTTTGGTGCTATAAACAATATGTGGGCAGTTCTTCTTTCAACAAACCGCGATCCCACCAAGGAAGGGTGGCCCAAAAAAGAAAAAAAAAAAATTTTTCCCTTAGTAAATATACAGGAGAGGTTGGGATTACCAAAAACTTTTATTCAAGTGCTGGGGGGGGTTTTTGGGGGGTTCGGACATGAAGAGAAGGGAACAAAATAGGAAGACGTTGAGAATTATAAATCTGTAGGGAGGAAAGGTGGGGTGGGGGATTAGCCAGGAAAGCTGGGGGGAGGGGGTAGAGAGGGGTTTTTGGTGCGGGGGGCTTGAGCCCCAGCAAGCAGGGTGTGTGTTAGTAGGTGTGGAAGGGAGAAAAAATATTTTTGGGACTTGACTGCTTTGGAGGTGGCAAGGTAACATTTATAAAGGGGATTCGGGAAACCACAGGCCAGACTGAGTCCTGGAGATGGAAGTAAAGTGTCTGCACTCTGAAAGGGGGGGTGTAATGTTGCAGTTTTGTAACTGTAGTGAAAACACAGCTGTCATAAGACAGTCTGGAGTGAATGATAAAAGTTTTTTTTTTTCCCGGGCCACACTGCCTTGATGGGAAACGCCGATGTGTTAAAAAAAAAAATACGGGAAAAGGGGTTTACTCCCATATTTCCAGCATTTTTTGTCGCCTCTTAGAACGTAAGGCTTACGGAGAAGAATTTTTTCACTTCCCCCTGGAAGTGGAACGATGGGGGAAAGCATCCATTGCAGCATTTGAAAACTAAAAATTTTGAAGCAAATTATCATAGGAAGAACAGTGAGAAGTACCCAGTGGGTAAAAAGAATTCATTAATCTATTTTCATTGAACATAAACATTTTTTCAGATACTGTAAAGAAATACAAGCTTTCATTATGATTTCATTATGTTAAATTTATATTTTTTTTTTAATTTTTTTAGAGCATTTGTAGTTTTTGAAGACTACCCTCACCTCCTGGGGGACACCCCAACATGGTGAAACCCCCTTTCGACCTCAGCTATAAGGCTCTTGGCAGGGGCTTGAAAAGGGAAACAAAACGTGTAAATTTTACCCTTTTTTTGCATGTGGAACTTGTTTTCATATATTCAAATTGACTTACCCTCGCAGGTAAAAGAAGTGTTTAGCAATACACCACAGTCTCCAAATAATTTTCAGTGTTACTATTCCCATTTGCGTAAAATGTATCATTTTGGATTTAAAAATTAGGTGATGTCATCCTTGCTGAGGGTCCACTGTACTTGCAACATCTGCCACATTGCTCCCCTATCCACTCTATCATATGCTTTTTCTAAATCCATAAATGCAATAAAACCTTCCCTACCTTTATCTAAATACTGTTCACATATATGATTCAATGCAAACACTTGATCTACACATCCCCTACCCACTCTAAAACCTGCTCACACTCCAACAGCTCGTCACGTCCCAAATACCATTCGTCTCCATTCACTCCTATCTAACACACTCATGCACGCTTGCTGGAAGTCCAAGCCCCTCGCCCACAAAACCTCCTTTACCCCCTCCCTCCAACCTTTTCGAGGATGACTCCTACCCAGCCTTCCTTCCCCTACAGATTTATGCACTCTCCATCATTCTACTTTGATTCATTCTCTCTAAATGACCAAACCACCTCAACAACCCCTCTTCAGCCCTCTGACTAATGCTTTTATTACTCCACACCTTCTCCTAATTTACACACACTGAATTTTTTGCATAATATTTACACCACACATTGCCCTTAGACAGGACATCTCCACTGCCTCTATATGGACAAATATACTAGCTCCCCTTAAATCAGGGATAATCACAGACAGCACTACTGACCACTTCCCCATCTTCCTCCTAACAAACATTTGTAAATAACCAATAGAATATAACAAGTTCTCTTTTAGACTCCATGACGAGGCATCAGTAAGTACCTTTAAGACAACAGAGCTAAGTATAGTTGACTGGCCTACAGAATTTTCCAGTGCCAGTGGTATCGATGATTAGATAGACATATTTCTTAACAAATTACTTAGACTGTATAACAAACATTGCCCCATTTAAATGAAACAGATTATGGATGAAGGACTAGGTTGCCCATGGCTAACTAACAGCATACCAAGATCCATTGACAAGAAACATCAGTACGAAAAGCATACAGACAGGGCTTAATAAACGAAGATGATATTGAACATTATGCATCAGTCCTCACCAAACTATCAAGAAAGGCTAAGCAATTGTACTATTTTAGTAGATTCACCAAAACAAGAGGAGATATAAAAAAGAGACCTGGAAGATACACACTCAGATTCTGGGCACCCACAAACTGAAAAAACTCGGTATATATTGTCCTAACTAAACTGAACAAGCCACAACTACAGCCTATTGATACAGTTAACAAAATAAATAACTTTTTCTCAACCATAGGATCAAATCTTGTCAGTAAAATCCCATGCACCAATTCCTGAGCGAGTGATTACTTAGATGGGAATTTCCCAACTTCCTTCTATCTTGCACTAATCAAGCTCGCAGAAGTCACCACTATTATTAAGTCGCTAAAAAATAAATCAGGAAATCTAGCTCAAGTCCCACCACCATTATTGTACAAATGAACAGCTCATGTTCTTTTGCCCACTATTTCATTACTCTAACAAATCACTTGAAACCAGCAATTTCCTGACACTACTCAAGATAGCAAGGGTCACACCAATACACAGAGGTCACACCAATACACAACTTTCATTCCAGCATAGCTGGAATGAAACCTTTGAGGTTCCCATAGCAGATTAACCCTTGCTTGAATGCTTGATGATATCCTCATAGCCAAAATAAAGTTTACCAGCTGCTGACAGATTGCAACAACTTGTATAAGCTTTATTGTCTGTGGTGGAATATGACAGGTAAATATAGTTAGCTTTTTTTTTCGTACTGTGTACTTGTGTAGAATAGGGTAGACACACACTGCTGGTGTTTTCATTGGTTATGACCCCTCACAGCAGTGCCCTGTAATGCTGTAATTCCATGCTGCATTATATTTTCTTACTTAACCTAATGTGTTTACCTTTTTATTGTTCATAGTTGGGTGAAGGAGAGTTGTATGAGTATCGACCTCCAACTCAACCTCCAATCAACCCAGCATATACAGCAGCAGTTGCTATGAAGCGTCAGCGGCACCTGTTTTCATCTACCTCTGCCATTTCTACCTATAAAAGCGAAAATGACATAACTAATGAAAACAAAAGTGAAGAAATTGAGCAGTCCAGTATGGTAGCTGGTGATAATGAAAGTGAAAATTGCATGACAACTGAAAATGAAAGCAAAAAACAAGAACAGTCGATTGCTTCAGCCAGTGACCCTAAGACTGAGGCTGCGAGTATAACCTTAAAAGACTTACACATTGGTGATAATCACACCACTAATATTTCATAAGTCATTACTCAATTTTGCCATTCATTAGCATAGTACCATGTATTTATATTTATAGAATTTTAGGCATTTTTAATCTTTAATTATTGTTTAACCCTTTCAGGGTGCGTGCCGTAGATCTACGGCTTTACGTTCAGAGTCCAAACCGTAGATCTACGCCATGAGCTCAGCTCACTCTGATAAGCTGTGAGTGGTAAATTTAGGCCTAGATATGAGAGAATACATCTATGTAGTATGTGTGCACCACATAAAACAAATCCTGCAGCACACAGTATATAATGAGAGAAAAAAAAACTGAGACCGTGATTTTCGATTAAAACAGCGACTTTGCAGTGCTTTTTCATATATTTTTTATAGTTGTATTTGCGATTTCTTGGTCTCATTTGATAGAATGGAAGACATATTACAGAAATAGAGATGATTTTGATTGGTTTTAGCACTGGAAATGGCTTGAAACTGAGCTCAAAGTAGCAGAAATGTTGAATTTTTGCCAATGTTCAAGAGTAAACAAACGACCTCACACGTCTAATACACGCCAGCTGGTGGGTCTAATATACATTCACAAATGCGGTGATGATATTTATACAATTATTACAGTATTGCATAACAGTAAATCTTCTATTTTTTGGTTTGAATAAAAATTCATTATGTGAATAAAAAACAAAATGGAATTAATTTGTAAAGCCTCAAAACATAACTAATGAACAGAGGAAATGTTAGTTTAGTGCCAGGAATACCTACATTGTTTATTCTGGAGTCTATTTTGAAATTGGAATATTCTGAACTTCATGTTAAATTGGCCAAATTACCAATTTCCGATCACTGAAATTCTTGTGCTCAGTCGATAGAATAGAAGTAATACTAGTGAAATAGCTAAGAATTTGGTCGACTGGAATAATGTAATTGGCCTAAAATGGGAGTCTAAGTCGGCAAAGTCGCCGATTCGTAAATATTGCTTACACATCAAAATTCGCGAGAGCATAATTTCATCAATTTTCCATCAAATTTTGTACTTTTTGTTTTATGACCTTCAGAAAAAGATTCTCTACCATTTCATAAGAAAAAATAACAATTTTTTTTTTTTAAATTCTTGGACCCTGGTGCTCACTTTGAAATTTGGCCTCTGGACCCTGAAAGGGTTAAATATAAATACAGTAAGGCCCCGCTTTATGGCGTTCCACCTTACGGCATTCCGCTAATACGGCGATGTCAAATTATGACCAAAATTTGCTATACGGCAAGCGGTCTTTCAAATACGGTGCCCCCCCCCCCGGGTTTTTTTCATTTTTCCCTACCT